AGAGGAGGCAAAACAAGAAATAACTCTCTATGGACATCTGGAAGCAGATAGAGGAGAGAGAATGAGCCAGTGCAAAAATGAACGACGACAGGAGGAGCTGAATTCAATCTACAACGCATGCAATAAAGAGGTGAAGAAGTAGAAGTAGAAGAAAAAGAAGAAGAAGAATGAGTTCTGGGAAAGACAGAAGATAATTGTACGACACTGGAAAGTGAGGCAGATCAGGCCACAGGTGAGAGGCAACTAAAATCACTACACCACCAGATAACCACATCGCTCGGTATCTGGGAGAACATCAACACAGACGAAACGGATGAAAGATGGTGATGGGAATCCAAATACCAAAGAGAAGAGGTAGGTGCTGGTCACTTCAAAGGACTCTAGAATCGACCACCACCTACAACAACTCGTCGAGAAATAATCACAATGACAGCAGGCACAGAATTTCCTGCCAGTACACACCAGTCCTCCGACAAAAGCACAAGTCTTTAGTAACATAAAACTACCGGCTAAGCCAGTAGGGAAGGCAACACGATCACACGGAATTCATCAGAATGCATTGAGAACGGATGCAGAGACCTGAGTGGACATTCTGATGCGATTACTGCAGAAGGTGTGGAAGGAATGAAGGGAAGGTAGATGATACCTGCCATTTGGAAGGTAGGCTACCTTGTCAAACTACTGAATAAGGGTGATTTGAGCCTTTACAAGAACTGTTGTAGAATCATGCTGTTGTCGGTGACGAGCAAAACATTGTACAGGGTCGTACTAGAGAGACTAAAGATGCTCTGGATGCAAACCTCCAACAAGAATAGGCTAGATTCAAGGAAAGCAAATCGCGTCCCTCTAGGCAACGTTGACTTAGAAGTCCTTTTGAAGGTGGTTAATCAATACAGAGGTTTACGAATCCTACTCAACCCCATTCAGCAGCTATATTGTAATGTTACATATCAGGTGATCCACGACGAAGGAGTCAGCGAATCGTTTGAAGTGAAAACAGGAATAAGACAAGGCTGCCTAAAATCACCAATGATATTCTTGATTGTGGGGTCTAGATCTTGCGGCAGACCTTGGGGAGCGAGAAGACAGGAACACGTTGGGGAAAAAGGAAATCTCTAGGAGATTCGGACTTCGCGGAGGATTTATGATTAGTGCCACAAAGTCGAAGATCTATAAACTTGGGTCAAAAATTTAGCAGACGAAGCAGTGTAGACAAGACTTCAAGCAGGCACTTAGGAAAGTGGTGTGATGAAGCCACTTAGGTAATCACAATAGGCACTAATGACTATCAGCAGGAGAAATTTGAAGGCGATCACCACCCTTACTTATCTGTAGGGGAGCATCGTTTCAGCTACAGCTGACACGCATGAAGGTGTCAAAGCAAGATGGACTTTCATCACCTTGAAATCAGTGTGGACATCTGCTGCATTAAGCATAAAAAACAAGATTAAGTTTTTTAACTATTGTCGAAATGTCAAGCCAGTTTTTCTATATCATTCATTGATTTGGCGCGTTACGAAAGGCACTTCGTACAGGCTTCAGACTTTTACCAACAGCTGCCTTCGCTCTATGAATAAAGTCAGATAGGACAAAGAAGGAGTGGAATCAGACCAGAAAACGACGAGTTGGGCTTCCGAAGGTGATATAGAGGAGATCGCGTTGCGAGGAGATGATAACTTATGGAAAATTGCAGATGCATCTACGGAAGACCGAAGAAAACAGGATGAAATGAAGACGTGTTTTTGAAGTCATAAAGAAGTAGAAGAAATGCACAATAGAGACAGTAAACAGAGATATGAGACAAAAGGAATAGCAATAACGAAGAACAATATAGTTTCATTGGAAACTATAAGTCACAAGTAGTGGATGCATCTGCACCAGCCATTGAAAACGATTTTGAGCTGGCCATTTCACCAATTGTCTCCAGCTTTCATTGGTTTCTACCGTCCCGAGGACCCCCAACCATTCACGAAGTCTACACCTTCCCACTTGGCTGGTCTGAATTAACTGTTGTGGATTTCATTGACTGATAAATCCATGTTTCGGCTTGACCACCGCTAGCTCTTTTCCAACCTCACTCTATGTCAGCTAACGCTGTCCGTCGATGGAGGCGAAGACTAGGCGTGAATTCGTATCACATGTCCTAACCATCTCAGTCGATGTAACTTCACAGTCTCGTCGACTTATTTCCTCTCCTTACCTATTACTCGATAAAGGCCTAACCTCAATATTGCTAACCCTATTATATATATGGTAGTAGGCTAAGTGGTCAAACTGATAATTTAGAACTCAAATGTCCATCATAGGATCAAGTAAAAACAATTCTACCATACTCGATTCTCCTGCGTAACAACTTTCGACGCACTCCTAATTGATGAGTTGGCCTACGGTTCGTGGTATCACCGTCTATGTTAGGTAACATTTGTTAGGACGTTGGCATGAATGGTTTTCTCGTACATATTTCCCAGAACTACTGTAGTGCTAGGTGGTGCACAGCAATCTAGAGGAAGTCCTGCGCCTAAGTGCTTATCACTACCCGACAGCAAGGCGCATATATGATGCCGAAGCAACTAATGCCTCCTCACTATGACATTCTTTCCCCTAACCTGCCCAGATCTCTTATTACATATCATGTCACCAAATATGATGCTTCTTAGGTTTCATTATAACCCCAAAAATTTTTCATGAAGTGTCTTCATTTAATTCTAATGTTAAATGTTACAACTACAAACGGCAAGCTGTGTTCTAAGTATTAGCTAGCAATGATATGATATGCATCCAAAATGAACTAAGTCAGATTTATTTAGAAACCGGTTAAGTTTCAACATATAATTTTACACAGAAGTACAGCAGTTCAAGTTGCGACACTCCACGAAGCACACAATGGTATACAAGACATTCAAGAATTATAAACAGAAATGTAAGGCGGATAGAAAAGTAACTCGGAAACCGAGTGACTGTCTAGTCGATGTGAGAGATCACAGTGAGTGAATGAATCTGCGCCATTGACAAGGATTTCGATTCATACCACCAATCGTCTTTAGCTATTGGTTCTTAGCACAAAAGGGTCCCAACCAGGCAGTCTACACCCCCCCCTACGTGGTTCAAACCAATTGTCAGGGCTTTCATGGTCTGATGCCATGCTTGGTTTGACCATTCCTATCTCTTTTCCAACCAACCGTATATTGACTAACATTGCTTGTTGAGAAAGGCAGGGGCTCGATATGTGTAACGTGCGTCCTAGCCATATCGATCGATTCACCTTCACAACCTCATTGATTGGCTTACCCCCCTTACCTAACACTACGCCTAACCTCAGTATTACCCACCATATTATACCATTTAATATGGAAGATAAAACGCAAACTTCTGTGTTCGAGGACGACAAGTCTCTTTATATCTGCCATTTTTTACAGTCATAAAGAAGGGCAGAGCGAACTGCTGAGCAGTATACACGTTCTTTGATTGGAATCTAGATGTCATGCCCACGCTAGGTATGATGTAAGTTGGCAAATGCCACATAAGCCTTCTATACTCGTGCTGAGATTTCGTCAGCAACAGTTCACATTGGGGCTCATAACACTTTCCGAATAGGTGAACTGGTCAACATGCCCTACCACTTTATTCCCTCTCTTTAAACTAGGAATCGGTATAATCCAGTTGTGCAAATTCAGCTTACAATTTACAGAAGCAAATCACATGCACAACATTCGCATATTGCTGCCTGTCAAAGTGTTTAGAAGACTCTGCCTTGTCAGCCTCTTCACCTAGGGGGATAATATCATCTACGAGACTGTTACCTTCTAACAAACCAGTCCGTAAGTCGCTAAGGTCAATTAAATTAGAACAATCTACGATGGAATTAAATAAAAATAGCACAGATGGCAACCCTAACAGACAGCACCATTTGTCGTCACTTCCTCGCACTCCTCTTCACGACAAAACGTTGTCATAGCACCTCTCGGTCGATAGAGTCGAATATCGCCTTCAGGTCAAGAAATATGACAAGCTTTTGACGCCGGTAGGTAGGCCTAATACACTCTCATCTGGGCTTAAAACCAGCCTGATTTTCTCGAGGTTTTTTTTTTCTCTCGAGCACCACACTTTGTGAATGATTATTGGACCTAGATCTTTGGATACTATATATAGGTCAAACTTACAACTGGATCATTAGCACAGGAAAATTTGTCTCCCTTCTAATAATCTGGGATAATCAGTGAGTCGCATCATTTTCAGTGGGACTCTCCCTCTGATTCGCGGACATTACTTAATAGTTTAAGTTAACCCAGACAACAGTTTGTTGCCGCTGTCCTTAAACGCCAATTGAGTCATTCCATACGGTCTAACGTTATCGCCTGAACTTGTACAGGTTTAATAAAGTATTACAGCGTAACTCTCTCAAAACAATGATCGATAAATAGAATGTAAGACACTGTTTGAGAAAATTCATGTAACTGTTGTATGCCTTAGGGTGCAGACTACCGTAGTACCGCTTTGGATTCTATTTATTTGTAACTATATGTTGAAAAATCATACGAAAGACACTAATTCATCTCTCTCTCTCTCTCTCGATGTAATTATTTGAAGATTGACAATACCATTTTGACTGCAGAGGGATGAAATTCTTTACGCAATACAGAACTAAAACCTTTTGGAACTGTAACTTATTGGTTGTTTCCACACGTTCACCGTGTGTGCAGTAGTTTTTTTTCTTAATAGTCTACTATTGCTGTAAACTATCAGAAGATGTTTCATCATTTTTATACATAGAATGCTGGTGAAGAAAAAACTTGTACATATCGGCTAAACTGTCGGCTATAATGAATAGTAAATCCCGCTTTAGAAAGAAACATATGAAAACAATTATTTAAATTTCACAAATTCATTTCATGTGAAAATTGTATTATAATAGAGATGAATAAAATATGACACGATAAAAAATAATTTTTAAAAGTGTTCAATATAAATGCTTTTCTTAGTAATTAATAATAAATGGAATCTTAGATTTGAAGGTATAGAACAACAGGACAATGATCACTGCCAGTAACAGCACAACGCAACTCTTGATCGTTTACATTTGATAAAATCCTTTGAGATACTAAAAAGTAGTCTAAACGCCTAAAAATGAAAAGCAAAGAAAAATAAATACAATGACAACAGAGATGTAATGATATAAATGCATGAGATTTGCATGAACTGATTAGTGACAACGCTTTTAAAACAAATATCAGATGATAACATTTTTCAACACTTTATCATACATAATGCACACTCATGACCCCACAGGAGATCAAACCCAGGACCCTTAGATTACGAGGCGAACTCATTCACCCATTGGGACGGAATCCAAAGCCCTGTGAATTCTCCTCGGTGGGGTCATGGGTGCACACTGATGGAGAGTCCCTGACTAGTAGGACCAAACAAATGTCCAGTACTCCCTAGTTTTTCAAATGACCGACATCAGTCTGTGAGGTTTAAAGTTCTATTGAATTTTATTCATACTGTAACATGTGATGAAGCAATGCCCAATCACAGGATTGAAACGAGGTTCTGATCGCGATGGTGTATTCTTTTTTTCAGGGAGAATATGGGCAGCATGACTCCAACTCCACTTTATATTTCTTCCTGATTTGTCACATGATACTCTGAATTCTATTTCCACTAATGATTTAATATCCTACTTTTCAGTAGCGTAATGTGCAAGGAATAAATAATCGTATACACGGTTAATTTGAAAGCGTAAACCGACAAATTAGAAGTGTTTTAATTTCATTCTCCGAAAGAAAAAAGTTACAGGAAATTTAAAAGAACTAATCCCCACGGCTTGGATTTTAGTTTCACTCTTTTCTATGCCTACACCTGTCAGAAAACTACTCTACACCTCAGAAAGATATTTTGTAATAATTTTATTTTACATTAACTTAATAGGCAGTAACTTTTTTCTATCTCCGTTTATTAGGTTTTCGTAGAATAAATATCTAAACGCATACCAATATGACAATTTGGTACTTTTGTGAGTTGACGGCCTAATGGTAGAATCACCACGCACGTGGTCAGGGTTCGATTGCCGACTGACTGATGCATTCCTAAATCTCGCCTAGCCGGCACTAAGCCTGATAAAGGGAGAAGATTGTGCACGAGACTACTTTCAACTGCACTTCGTAAAAACAACACCAAAGTTAATGCAACTTCAAAACTCAAACCCTAAACCACCTTGTGTTCCACTCGAAACACAAAGGAATGAAGAAAGAGAAGATATTCCTAAAAGAAAATACTGAATCCACCTTCTTAGTACTCATAGAAGAAAAAAAAATGGTGGCGAAGATCATCAAGCTATCCCCCAGTGAGGACAGTTTCATACTCCAGTTTATTTTCACGGATGTAAAAGTTATTACTCAAAGTAAGATCACACAGTTACCATGTTATGTGACTGATCACCTTACGTTTGAATGAAAATTACGCAATGCATTTTCAACCTCTTGAGTTCGCACTGCTAACTAACCACTTCTATTACCACCAGTATTTTCATCAACATAATGATTACATTTTATTCATCTAACGCTTATGATTCCTCGATTGTGAATTCATTCACCAACTCAGTTTATTACTCCTTTTTTCTTACCCACTAAGTAATTCTTCTTAACCTAGATATATTATTGATATTATGATTTTTCCTCGAGTTTACTGATTTGTCCTCATGACTGGAAAGGAGAGTAATACAGCAAAAAGGGGGATATACATAGAAAACCCATGTCGACGCTTCAAATGACTCAGTTTTTAGTTCTGTACATTTCAAGCATAAACACAGTATAATTAAATATCCAGTACGTAGATCCACCTGTATATCTTGTGATGTAGGTTTTCTATACGCATATTCCCCTTTTTATCGCTCCACTTTTTTTTCTAGTCATGACGACAGGTGAATATACTTAAGGGAATCGAACTTATAACCCAGTGACGGAACTTGTGGCGAAGTTGCGGTAAGAATGACAAAAAAAGCCATTAAACTTATATTTACAGTAATCGGTCAGAAATCTATCGACTGCTATCAGTAGAGGTCGGTTACAAACTCTGTCATTGAGTCAAAAGTTCTCGAACAGCATAATACCTGGAGTCAACAGGCTGAACACAGAAGTGCAATTTGAAAAGTTAGTCAGCTAGACTTCCGATTTTACACCAGCATCATTGCAGTAATTCCAACACTTCAAATCAACAGCTCCTTATTGCTGCCATCTGACAATTTGTTGACCAAAGATTACAAAGACCAAGTTAAAGCACCAAAGTGAAACCATGGTATTATCATAAGTTGACCACCTGATAAAGATGAAGGGGCTGTCTTGATCAGTGGCCAACATGTCGACAAAATCAAATTGAATTTAAGAGTAGAATTTGAGCACTATGGTAGAATATAATTCCATACTAGATAAGCTTGTTTGATACAGTACAATACTGATAATTGTGTGTTATATCAAATGGACTTATGTTATATGCAAAACTTTATTGACATTTACTGACCAGATGAAATTTGCCAAATTCGAGGGTGAAATGAACAAATATCATCCACAGCTGAAAAATTTAAGGGATAAGTCAATAACTACATTAAATTTATATGAATGCATCTGACCTGTCGACTTTATAACCCTAAATTTATATGGACTACCGAAAATCCATAAAGCAGGATTACCTCTCCGTCTGATTCTGTATATGTCGCGTTCCTCTTACACGGTAATGCTCAGTACCTAGGTAAAATATAGGGACCAAATGAAAGGCTAGTATCTCAGTCTTCAATTGGAGATAAATTACAAAGGTTTTAATGCCTCGAACAAACTCATGTCTCTATGTTATCGAATACGTTTAACACAAACTTTCTGCTATGTACGCAATTTACGCCTGCCGAAAACCCTTATAAAAGAACTCTTTTAATATATGTGTAAAACTTGGGCACTGTATTTGACCTCACAAATACATAGGTCAAACTAGTAGAACAGGGCAGTCAGACTAGTTGAACATAAAACTTAGCAAAATCTAGACTGGTTGACCCGAATAAGATAAGAAATCTAGAGAGTAGTTCAGCTATAGCACTACATGGAGTTACACACAACCATACAATAGGATGGGATAGGATAACAGTTTTAAAATCTAATGTCACAGGGTGGAGGGAGAGATTGATAACAGAAGCTTTGTTTATCGAATACACTGCAAATACATGTAATAGGAATGATTCATCACCTGTCCCTGATATCTGGAAAATTCTACTGCCCATACGACAAATAGGAGAAAACAAAGAAAACTATAAAACTCAAGTTTCAAAGTCGTGTGACAAAAATTGATATGATTATCAACAATAAATTGTGTTCCAAACGTCATCCAGTATACAATACTGTCTCACTGTGTGATACATTTTAATAAACACTAATATGGAAAAGAACTCTTTATTGAGATGCACACTTAGTGTCGCTTCCTTGGCTTCAACAACGAGATATATATATATATATATATATATATAGCTATTGACTGCGTTGATACCTACAGAAGATACGTAGACAACAGGCTCATTATTAATGTTATGGATACATTACTTAGTGATATCTTGCTTTCATTCAAAAACTCCTATCCATCCTTACAATTTACCATAGAAAAGGAATTTGAGCTTAACATTCACTTTCTTGATGTGTTCCTCCGAAGAAGTAACGACGGATGTCTTAAAAAATCAATCCAGTGGAAACTTGCATGGAATGGACAATCAACTGATTTCTATAGTTGGGTGTCTATTCCCAGGAAAAGAAATCTAATCTATTCCTTCTTCTATATGATATGAGATATTTGTAATTCTGACTGCAATCATGCAGAATTTTGTTTCCTGAGAGCCACGCTTGCAAAAAACGGTTATACACATCGATTTATTGATTAAAACACGAAGAATAAACATTCTAAACTGGTCATTGACTCGGTTTCAAAGAAAATCATCTTCATGAATCTGGAATTAGAAGGTGATCAAGCTTCAGGCTCAGCCAATAAGACATTCTTTCTGGTAAATCTCCAGCTCACCTTGAACATCTTTTTGTAAGGAAGGAAAGCTCTCTTATCTGGCCAGCTTCATATGCACCTATCAGTTCACCTGTTCCTGTGGAACAAGGTACATCATCAGTCGTAGCCAGAGAATGCTTTCCACACGAATACAGTGACATATCTCGGCATGGTTTTGCAAGAGAGAAAGAACGAGTGTGAGAAACTCTATTCTAAAACACTTAATAGACTTTTGTCACTTAACTAACTCGAACAATGATTTTAAGATAATTTATTAAACTCATAATAAGCTGCCACGTTCTCTCAGTTTGAAAATTTTAAAAACACCGGAGGCTTTCATTGTTGATGAATTTACTTCAGATTTTGTGGACAAAAAAATTATGCGCACCCTTATTTCTACCTCGGCCTTAGAATAAAGAAGAGGGATAAAAGTATTTATAGAGTGCGGGGTACGAAAATTGACAAGTCAGTTCAAGGTTATAAAAGGGATCGGGCGAGTGAGTGGCTAGTACAAAGTGGTCTGTGTTAAACAGGAGATAGTAAGACTGCAATGAGAGGTTCATAATGAAATAACGAATATGTGAAAGGAAACAGGTGGAGGTATATATTGAGAAAAGAGATAATATCACAAATAATAAGTCCGGATAGTATAAATGAAAAATTCGATAGTATTGAGGGAATGTTTGCATGAAGGGCATATATTATGACGAATAATAATAATAATTGTAATAATAAGCAAAGGAAATAAACCAAGAGGGTTAAGGGGAAGGAGCACTCTTGGTGAGAAGAAGAATCATCAATCCAAGCTTCGTCACGGTAGGAACAGCGTCTGGACTTGTTCTTTTTGGATACAAAGTTCCGGTTTAGTCAATCTTATTGCAACAGCTTCAGCTATGTGTAGAAGACGTAAGCGAACTGTACGTGATAACGACTTCGGAATTCGGTATATAACCCTGAAAGCTGTGTTGACATCGATACAATGTCCAGTATCGACCGAGTGTGACAGGATCGAGCTTTTTATGCAATTAATTTCCCCCCTGTTGAACCAAGCTGGTAAATGTTCTCGAACCCGTAGACGAACCTGCCTAATC